TGAAAGCTGTTAAACGAAAAACAAAGCAATGGGCTATCTGTGTTCTACCTACCGCAGGTATCGAAAACCAAATGTTGAGCGTTATAAGCCCTCAGATGTACCGCTCAGCGACAGGGGTGGGGGCATATAAATGGTATCGTGAGTGTTTTGATTTACTGTATCTGTTTTAGCTCCTGGAAGAGGTGACTAATAGCAAGTTGCTTTGTTTGTTTGTGGGAAGTACTATAAATGATATTAGCTAGTATTTTTCTAATAGAAGTACTATAAATGCTATTAGCTAGTATTTTTCTAATAGAAGTACTATAAATGCTATTAGCTAGTATTTTCCTAATGGAAGTACTATAAATGATATTAGCTAGTATTTTTCTAATGGAAGTACTATAAATACTGTTAGCTAGTATTTTTCTAATGGAAGTACTATAAATACTGTTAGCTAGTATTTTTCTAATGGAAGTACTATAAATGCTATTAGCTAGTATTTTTCTAATGGAAGTACTATAAATACTGTCAGCTAGTATTTTCCTAATGGAAGTACTATAAATGCTATTAGCTAGTATTTTTCTAATGGAAGTATTATAAATGCTGTTAGCTAGTATTTTTCTAATAAGCCTCATGACGTTTTCATTTAGTTATAAGGCCTGGCATGGCCAGGTGGTTATGGCGCTTGACTCGTAATGTGAGGGTCGCAGGTTCGATTCCCCGTCCCGCCAAACATGCTCGCCCTTTCAGCCGTGGGGGCGTTATAATGTGGCAGTTAATCCCACTATTTGTTGGTAAAAGTGTAACCCAAAAGTTGGCGGTGGATGGTGATGATTAGCTGCCTTCCCTCTAGTTTTTCACTGCTAAATTAGGGACGGCTAGTGCAGATAACCCTCATGTAGCTTTGCGCGAAATTCAAAAAACAAACAAACATTTAGTACTAAGTGAATCTGAAAAGAAAAACAGTTGAAATTTAGTGCAGTACAAAGAGTATAATTTGATCTCTCAGTACTGCGTTTTATTTAAATTTTAGCACTAGTGTTTAACTTAAGATATATTTCATAAGATTAAATATAAATACCACGAACTAAAAACGTATGTATAAAAAATCCCTCCAGGGCTGATGTAGAAGATTTCCAACGTTTTTTATACAAGAAAAATAGTTTGCATCTTTGACATGTTTGTAATTAATCAGATATCTTCAGATGTGTTAAGTCTTGTTGAAAGATGTAAGGCAACATCTAAAGGTTCTTCACCTGGCGGTGAGATTCTCTACTAGTTACGAACTAAAAACGTATGTATAAAAAATCCCGCCAGGGCTGATGTAGAAGATTTCCAACGTTTTTTATGCAAGAAAAATAGTTTGCATCTTTGACATGTTTCTAATTAATCAAATATCTTCAGATGTGTTAAGTCTTGTTGAAAGATGTAAGGCAACATCTAAAGGTTCTTCACCTGGCGGTGAGATTCTCTACTACTTGTATATAAAAATTGATCACTTAAGTATCACAGGCCTGCGATAGTTTTATTGTCTTGAAATTTTTACATCTACTGCAGTAATTCCTGTACGCTGAATCCGAAAATGATATCCATTTTTCTCCATCACGTACAGATTTTTCACAAAACGTCATAACGCAATATATAAAAGAAAGACCACAAGTCGTAGTTTTGAGACTAAAAGACGTAAATTTGACACAAAAAAATCAGGATGAATGAGGATGCATATTCGGTTGACATCAATGTTCTTCTCTTTTTTCAGTTTGTTTGTATTTTTGTTAACAAACATAAAATATAATAAAAAACAATTTCATTGTGGTAAACCAAATAATAATTTGATTTTAGTCAGAGTTTTTCTTCTTCCCGATTTGTAGAAAATTCCTTATGTGAAAGAATATATATATTATTTTCAAAATCCGCGTAACTGAATTATAGAAAATCTGTTATTAAAATCAAACAACTTTTATGAAGTTTAAATTCGTAGGGCTGTGTTATTAATACATTTTGTTATGAAGTAACGGGTTGCAAGTCGTGGATATATCAGTTGCTAGCCCTAATTCTTTTCTAATTATGACTTTTGAATGTCTACAAATTTCTAATGGTTTAAGGATATTAAGTTTTTTTAAGGATTGAACAGTTTTTTGTTAGTTTGTAGTATTATGCTTGAAAATATCTTGGCCTGTTCCTTTTTTATCCTCTGTTACTGCACATTCTTCTATATTGTTCTTCTCTACGTTTCTTATACGTTCCTTAGTTCGGGTATTTAAGTTACTAATGGTTTGGCTAATGTAAACTTTGTCATATGGGCACTTAACTTGTACAATTAATATATAACATCTATTTGTGTTGAAAAGGATGCTTATTTAAATCTCGTGCTTAGCTTTATAAGATAATTTGTTCTGCTAAAGTTTAAACAACCTACATAAATAACCATTACTATTGTAGAAAAATCTTACCTCTCTGTAGATATTTTAACAAATCTTATATGACATTTATCTTGCATTTATCATCTATCAACAAAGGCTTAGGACAAGCATTTGATGTCACCACGTGACTACGTAATGTGTTAATAATTAGGTGATTAACTTTTCGATATAATTAGTTGATAATTCGATATCAGTAATTGACAATCTCAACTTTAGATGAAGTTTGTTTGTTTGTTGTAAAGCACAAATATACACAATGAGCTATCTGTCCTCTATCTACTGCGGTATCCAAACCCGAGTTTTAGCGGTATAAACCCACTGACTTGCCGTTGAGCTACCAAGGGGCGCTAGATGGCGAACCTATGTATATTGTCATACATCTTTTTTTGGATGTAGAAAAAAAAATCTTATATCTGATCACTTGTGGTTCCCACCCAAAAGCCCCCTCACGTTTCAACGACAATAACGGATAAGTCTCTTATCAAATCTTACCCATGGGGATCAGCAAGGAAAGGGCAAGGGGGCACTTGCCCCTCCCCCGAAAAATGAAAAATAGTTCTTCCTTTTTTAATCAATATATATATTATGTTGATTTAGACTTTACCCCCCCCCCCCGGATAAATTTCTGTGGAAGCCCATGATCATACCTAGTTAATAGTTAAGTCTCAAGACTAACCAGTATTTCGCGCACAGAAAACGTTTGTAAAACGTTTACACTGGTTACTTCGCATGAGTCGACTATAAAGAATTTCAACAACCATAGTTTTCTACTCTGTTTAGAATGCTTTTTAGGAACGTATCCAACTTGTCGCATGGCTACTTTCTTCCCTCGCCAACACCCTATTACGGCTTTTATGAGATTTTTATAATAGTAATTTTATTTATAATTTAACATATCTTCAACATCCAAGTAAACACACAGGTTCACTGAACTAGTGTCTATTGTGATTTAAATCTTTTACAAAAGTGTCCGAATCTTTTGAAAAGACAACGGCAGGCTCTGCGCATCGCTAACTCCCCTTATCTCATTTGTATATGCTGTAAAACAATCGGACAGTTCATACCTTGTATCCCGGATGTCGAGCCGGATTAAAAACTATTCCACGTGAGTTGTATTTGTCGACAAAACTATGGACGTAAATTAAAGAATTGTATTTTGACGACAAAACTATGGACGTAAATTAAAGAATTGTATTTTGACGACAAAACTATGGACGTAAATTAAAGAATTGTATTTTGACGACAAAACTATGGACGTAAATTAAAGAATTGTATTTTGACGAAACAGAGAAATCTTTTGACACGTGTTTCCGGTAATGAAAAAAAAACTGTCTTTAGTTTTATTTTTTATATGATTAACGTATTCTCAGAAGAGCAAATTTCGTTCTCATAAAGCAACATATATGAAAGAGAGAGAGAGAGAGAGAAGAAGAATAAAAAATATTTCGCTACGATGGCACCCAGAAATTCTTGCCATCTCTTGAGAAGGACAGATTCACATAAGCCACGTAGTATGAAGAATATCAAACCAGTAATCTGTCCCAAGCGGTAAGTCTACGGAATTACAATGCTCAAATCCGGGGTTCGATCCCCCCATTGGCACGGCAGATAGCCCAATGTAGATTTGCTCTAAAACACACACACACACACAGTAATTACACTAATTTTATAAACACATCTAAAACCTTTGTAACACGATGAAGAATGTATCGAAGCTAGATAATGAGACATTTTGAAAAAAACATTTTCAGAAAGCAGCCACGAAAAGTATGGTTTTGATTGTTGTTAAGTGCAAATCTACACAATAGGCTATCTGTACTCTGCCCATCGAATCCCGATTGTTAGTGTCGTAAGCGTGCAGACTTACCATTGAGCCATTGGGGGCGTCACGAAAAGAAAGTCGAGTTCTCCAATGTTAAAAGTTTGCGTTTGTGAAAATAATTGCAAACGTGTGATAGTCTGGGAATAATTATTGTTATTATTATTTTAAATTCATGCTTATTGGAAGCAATCACTAAATTTGTGAACATTTTCTGAAGCTCCGAAATAAAAACATCGATACTAAGAGAGAATTTCATCACAGATCGTTCTGTACCTACAGTATATTGTTTACATATTTCAAATGAGGACCTAATTTCGTCATATTTTAATTCTTATTTTTTTCATGTTGAGTATGGAAGTTTTTTAAATATATCTGTAAATATGTATACCTATTCCATTATGATGTAGATATTGGATTCAATTTAAAGCATTTCTCTAACTCGTCAAATTTACGTTGTAAACAAACGTAAACATCTTGTATTTTGTACAAGTCATAACGGTCTTGTATAATGATTCACATCAAAATTACTTGTGACGTATCTCTCCTTCCTCTCAAGTGTATTTTAAAAGAAAACATGGGCGAAAAGAGGCAATGAAAGGCTCCACCCCCCTACACGGCACATTCCTCAATTGGGATCTTCCAGTAGTGATGCTGCCGTAGCGCAACCAATATTGCGTGACAAAAATAATCGAAAAGCAGTGTTAGTTACCACCTAGCGGAAATATTACGTTTGCAGGTAAGAAAGACAGGTGAATGAGTCTCGGCTATACGAATGTAAGGGCGCTCGCGGTAGCCATGTTTTCTGTTATAAGCTTGTGGCAATAGTTGGTTGAGTGCTGATAGACAGGAACTGGACAATTTTAGCAGTAGAATTTTGAAATATATATATGGAATGCTGGAGCTAGAAGATTAGAAATCTACGAGAACGTGAATTATTCGACAAACTTTACGAAAAATAACTATTTTCGATATTAAGGTCAAGAAGCTTTCAATTTCATACAATGTCGAAAAAACTGTCCGAAGTTAAAATTTCAGCCTTTTGCGTCACATCCGTGGTTCTAGTACTGATGTTCATTGCTTTTACCACGCCTAACTGGTTGGCTTCTGATCCTAGATTTTACGGTGCTGATTTTGTTAAGTTGGGTCTTTGGGAGACATGTTTCCGAAGTCTTGCCAGTCCCCATGATTTAGAACAACGGAAATACTACGCTGGGTGTAGTTGGATTTTCAACGATGAGTATCAGAATCTCAGGAAATTTTTGGAGCCGCGTAAGTACTATTAAAATGAATATATATATCTATTCATTCTGTTAGTATGGAGTTGTTTAAAATATAGACAAAAGGAGAGAGAGTGAACCCATGATTTGTAAAGTTTGTGGTGAATCATATGACATAAAGAACATCTGTAAACGAATCGTAATAATAAGCTTGGCTGTCTAATATTGTAGTAGTGTATACTACTAGTAGTAGACCACCGCTGTTGTGGTTATGCTATTATATAGTTATAACAACTAACCTTTTTATAATACGTGTGAAACACAAATATACTTAGCTTAATTAAACTTAAGTTTCATATTTAGGGAACTGTTACCTTTCAAAACAAACCCCACTCAAACACAAACTGTTAATTAAGCACTGTATTGTATATTGTGCCATTAATGACTTCAAGATTAATAGATTAATCTATACTTTATATCTGCGTCAAACTGTCATGAATGCATGTTTACCAATATTCTATAACAAAAGGCCTGGCATGGTCAGGTGGTTAGGGCGCTCGATTCGCAATCTGAGGGTCGTGGTTTCGAATCTCCGTCCCACCAAACATGCTCGCCCCTTTCACCCGTGGGGGCGTTATAATGTGACGGTCAATGGTAAAAGAGTAGCCCAAGAGTTGGCGTGTAGCTTTGCGCAAAATTCAAAAACAACCATCTATAGCATACCGACACCTATACATGACCCCACTCCCACACACATGTGTAAAACATTGCCACTTACACACATATGGGATGGAACACACTATACAACCTTACTATATAACCTTTGGTTTTACCATGAAAGGTGTAATATTACTTCAAGTGAACGATGTGAGAAATAAAAAATCAATAATTTTATAAATTATAAACTTGTACATTTTAGGAATATATGCACAGATAAATAATCCTTACAGTCCTAGTAAACAATCATCTGTGAAATACTTGAGGCAAAATCATTTCCAAAATAATTTAATGTTGATAAGACATATAAGTAATCATACAACACCGTAGCTGTTTGTGTGTATCTAAAGTAAACCTGGCAGTGAAAAGTTTATCTGAAAACGTGATAGTGAAAGAAAAATAAAAACGTTTTTTTATAAACTATTCAAATTCGGAAACTTCATTTCACAAAAGAGTGGCTTTGCATATGCTCCCCCAATTCAACTGCAGGGGGCTAGGCTATAGCGTAATTTGCGTATACTTGTTAATCTGGTCTGACGAGAAATATATCTCATAGAAACTGCCATTTAGGGTTCCTTTCCGAGCTTGAGGGAGGGGGAAGATGCTCCTGTCGCCCTCTCAAATGATCTCCTTGTTCAAATCGTTTGTCGGCCCATGACTTTGTTGGTTATAGGATCTCTTATAACGTTCGATTTAAACAAAAATGTGATCGATATCATAATTAATCTCACTAATTACTGCTGGGATCCCCCTAAACTATATTTTTTTTACTTAGAAAATGGGTGGTTCCCCCAAATTCGGTAAGTTCTCTACACTGAGTGTTGCAAAACATAATGTTACTCAATGTAAATGTAGCATTTGCACCCTCTACCGGTAGTGAACGGCATAAAACACGTCATAATTTGAGATTATTAAAAACTGGGACCAAAACAACGTTCGTGGTAAATTCCGAAATTCGAATTTTTATTAGGTTTTGAAATCAATCACTTAATTCTACAGCTTTGGGCTGAAAAGAAAAACGATGTATTTTGAGTGAAACTTTTTAACTCTTGTAATCCAAGTAAAACAGGAATTTTAAGTCTGGGATGAATATATGCCAGACACATGTATGTATATATATAGAATGGTCGAAAAATAGTAAGGATTTGCCGTATCATACATATATTATACTGTTTCCAGCCACCCAGTGGCCCAGCGGTATGTGTGCGGACTTACAACGCTAGAAACTGGGTTTCGATACCCGTGGTGGGCAGAGCACAGATAGCCCATTGTGTAGCTTTGTGCTTAACTACAGATAAATAAACAATACTGTTTTCAACCGGTACAGAATTGGTTGTAGCAGTAGTTTCCATCGAACTGACCTATTTGATTCTATGGACATTTGTGTGTACAGTGTGTTCCATCTGGGATAGACAGTGAAGTACGTGTTTCAGAATTCTGTATGTCTAACTTTGTTTTCGTGCGTCAACGTGGTAATAAAGGTTAAACTTGATTCTGTATGTTATATTATTTGTACGTGTTCATTAAGAAAACGTACGCTACACATACAAACGTCACATAGTTCAAACACTTTGGTCATAACAGCTCCACCATCAATTTTACAGTCTTATCAACCACAATATATGCGAACCTTTATTTCACAATTGTAATAAATTAAAGGGCGCGAATTGGCCCTCTGGTAGACCTCTCGATTTCGGAATTGGCGAGTCAGGTTCGAATCCATGTGATGCCATAAAGTATTCCCCGCGTTTTTAAAGCTGTAGGTGCTTTATAAAAGCAACGGTCAATCCTTTAGTGTGAGTGGTAGGGTGCTACTGACTGGCTGTCTTCCCGCTGGTCAGTAGTTCAAATTTAGAAACGGTGGCAGATAGCCTTAGTAGCCTTGCCGCAAATATAAATGGATTTTAATAACTTTTTATTTTCTCAATATTATTATTGAAAGACACAACGGTTAGAAATGGTGATGGTAATTAATGGCTACAAAAAAAATTAGTTCGGAGTAGAAAACATATCCAGACACTTTGAATATTTAGATGCCACGCCCACAGAAAACGATTATTGTAGTTTTTTTTTATGTAATCTCCACATTTGTGGGCGTAATAATTCTTAAAGCAGAAAAAGCATACTTATAAAATACTACAAGTTATTACCACTGTAGACGAGATATTCTAAAGAAAATAACGGCTTATTGGGAAGCGGCTATATAATAAACTCAAATCCTTAAATATACATATATATGTATATGTGTTCGAATACAGTATCTTAAGCTATGTTTTATCTTGTGCGGCTGGAATTTTAGTGTTTCAAATAGCAACCATTAACAGCATAATGCTAGTGAAGAAATTAGTAGAGTAGTTGCTACTCAAGCTGTATTACTTGTCACATTTTCATAGTAAGTTTTTAAGACTTAGTTTTGCTTCTAAGAGTTTGCTGAGTTTCAGGAATGAACTTCGTACAAAAAATTGCAGAGATACGCAGAAAAGTTATTACAGCTCTCTCTATATATAGGGTTTAGAAAACTATAGAGATAAAATTATTTACC